GACACGAACCCAGTTGGGGAGCAATGTGACGTCACTGGGTTCGTCACCTCGTCTTCAGAGCTTCAGAGTGCGAAAGCTTAAATCTTTACTTCTTATTTCTTTGAAAGAGGTTTCTTTGACTTGAAAATTATAGCTGAGGATATTTTTAAAATAAATTAGTGTTTGTAACGGGAAATTATTCAAAAAAATGGAGCCCTGTGCCGTTGCTACCTGCGGTAATGCGTAGCATAATACGAAACAAACAAACGTGATATTTCAACAATTTCCGTAGAGAAACCTTCAGTAGACGAAAGAATGGTAGCATAGCAAGCATACGTTTTTCTGTTTTTATTATTATTATTATTATTATTTTAAGCTCAAAGGGCTATTAATTTCGTTTTGGCATTCTGCGTTGAATCACTATAAACGCGGTATCACTTTTCAAATTATTGCCAGCAAATGTCAGAAACCTACATTATATTTAAAGAAATTAAATAATGAAGAATTTGCATAAATGTATGTATGTTTCTCACATTGTGATAAAATGACAGTACCTAGAGACATCACATTTTGAATAACGTAATCCTCCACCGAATATGGGCATCTGTAAGCCCTAATTTGGAATTTGTTTATTATCGATTTCATATTTTGTAACACTTTAATGAATTTTTGATTAACAAACTCAACGATCTCCATGCGAGTATTGGCAACACTGTATCCCCCCCAAAAAATATCTCCAGCGCGCGAATATGAATCGGAAATTCTAAAGAGATGCTCCATTTTTAAAATCCTTTTGCGATATTTCTGTTGAATTGAATTTTATGGTTTTAAGAGCAAAGGTGTGGGTCCAGTATTTAATCAGTTCTCATATCATGTTCAGTTTTCTTACTGAGTTGGCTTTACAAATTTTTTTGGCCCTTTTATTATTAACGTTTTGATGTTGACTTTATTTCAAACATCCCCTTCTTAGCGCCTCCTACACATAAAATTCGATTCAACAGCAAAATCTCAAAATACTTAAAAACATTTTTCTTTAAATTTTCGACAGACAGTCTCACGCGCTGCAGAATAAAATGGTTTTTTCCGTACAGTTTGCCACTGCTTGCTTTGTGATCGTTGAGCTTGTTATTTAAAAAATCATTAACGTTTTACAAAATATGAAATAGATAATAAAACAATACGATATTCAAATTCGAGCTTCCAGGTGGCCATGTTAAGGTGCAGGATTATGTTATTCAAAATTTGGTGGCTCTACGTACAGTTGTTTTTTCACAGTTCGAGAAAACATGTATACATTCATGCAGATTTTCATATTTAATTTCTATAATATAAACAGTGTGATAATGTTTGGTGGCAACAATTTGAAACGCATACGCCGTTTACAGTGATTCAACTCAAAATGCCGTATCGAGACTAATATCCCATTCGTGAATAATTTCGGGCCTAAAATTAATCGAGAATGGAAAATTATGGAAAAATGAAAATTATGTTTTAACCATATATACCGAAATACAATAACTCATTAGTGAAACAAAAGCGAATTAAATTGTTTCCAAATGGCACTTCAGAAAGCATTGTAATCAAATGATTATGCGTTAAATTGGATGCATCCCTTGTGTCGGCAAGAAAAGTTAACCATAAAATAGGTAAATGAAATAAATCATGTAAACTAATTCATTTTATTGTATTAAAAATAATATTTATTATTTGGTTTATTATTCATAATGTGTTATGCGATTTATTTTATGCGTTTTTTGTTATTTATGAAACTATACAAAACAAATCATGAATTCTGCATAGAGATAAATTAGCATTAGAATACATGCTTTTAAAATGTAAGACTACACTATTCATAAGAAGTATATAAATGTCAATTTAAATATTTTTATTATTTATGAGTAATGGACACTGCATAGTAATCCTGGTGATCAATAATAATGCTTTCATAATAGTCATTGTCAAGACTTACAAATCCTAATTAACTCATTTCCAGTGCTAGTTGAAAGACAAAATTAAATGAAGTGAATTTGTTTGGATTTAATATATTATGAAATTTGTTGTTAGCATTCATTTAGCTTTTAATCAGATGAGTTTGTAAGGACATTTCTGAAAAATACGTTTGCATAATTTTATTTGATATTTCTATAACCCAACTTGTGATATTTTAACTCAAAAGAATTTATCGTAATAAGAAATGTGTCAAGGTTTTTTTATCGATAAATTACTATTTACATACATTTCCAAAAATATTGTAGAAAAAAATTAACCATATTTAATGTATATTCAACTTTAAATATTAGTTTAAGGCTTATATTTTACGCGTTTTATAATTTCATTAAATCTACCGTAGCTACATTACTAGGTCAGCTATATATCCATACACATTGTAATTTCATTAGATAAAATCTCTTCCTCATATTATTTACCGAACAGTTGTTCAAAAATTTTTGATTTTCAAACAAATACTCATGAAACCGAAGGTGGTATAAGGCACTCTTCAAAGCAGCAAGCGAACCCATCTACGTCATCACTCTCTTCTTCCGGTTTCAGCGGTGAGGAGCTGATGAGCCAGCCCTTTAGCCCTGCTCTTCGGTATGAATCGACAGTCTACCTGATTATTATTACGCATCAGCAATGTTCCGTATTTTCCTTGCTATTATATATATATATATATATATATATTTCAATTAAATTTAAATAATTCTCTTGCGCCATTACTGCAAGGAATGAAATTTGAATTTAACAAACATTGTTTATTCGTAAAAAGCACATTTAAAGTTAATTAAATTTGAAATGAAATTGAATTACAAATAAATCATTAATTATTGCTGCGAACTAATCTACAATATCATTTAAATTCTGAGAGCATATGTAAATCAAGTGCAAGCATCAGAATCTATAAATGCATAATATATAATTCCAATAAATTTTTTAATCCTAAAAATTTATAAAAATGCATAAGTGAATAATTGTTGAGCAGGCAACAGACAGACTTACCAAAGCGAAATTGCCTCCAAAACTAATTCTTCCAATCATTCAATTCGTGTTTCGCCATCCATGTAGGCAAGTTTTTTAGTAGTACTTTGATCATTTCTTTGCCAAATAATGGCTTGCACGCCTTTGTACAATTCAGCCATATTGGACCCGTTACCATAACCTTATCCTTGAACATTCTGAATGTCGAGGCTATCATTTTCTAACTTATAAATAATTTCATTTGCTAAAACACTATCAGTTTCGTCTTTTGCTTCTATAAAATCTATAAAGCTTTCTTCAATAAATATGGATTCGTCTTTTATGTACACGTATCTAATAATCTGACACAGTTTCTCATGATGCGAAACATCTGGTGTGCAATCAAATACAGTCAAAAGTCGTTAATCCGGACTCGTCGAGACTTCGGCGATTCCGGATTATAGATCATCAATTTAAATCTGGTAAGATGGCATGCAGAAATTATAAAATTAAAAATATGAAACCGTAATTTATGAAATAAAGAACAATTATGATCTAAAGGGTATCAAAATTTACAAAAAGAAAAAGCTTAATATTTATTTGTTTACTTTATTAAACATTCTTTCAATGTAAGTTGTTTCAGTTGCTTCGTTTCATGTGATAATACTTTCTCTTTAATTCTATTAAACAGACATAATTTCTTGTTTAGTTACAAAGTTCCGCTGTTCAAGTCGTATAATTGCTGTGTCGATAATACCGACTAATTTGTCAATCGAAATTTTTTTCGTTTTCAATAACCTCTGTGTCACTTTCTTAACTATCGGAAACGAATTATAATGACGAGGAACTTGATTTAAATCATATCAAAGACGGAGTACATCGAGATGAAATACTACATTTAGTAAGGAATTATAAGCCAAATAAAATAAAAACATCTGCCCTGAAGATCAGGATAGTGCTGAGAGATCAACTTCCAATTCATTGCGCGCCGCGGCGTGAAATTGATAAACAGATTTCGGATTTCGAAACATAATTTCGCTTTGTAGATCCTTTACATATTAGTAAATATATATCGGAAATTCTATTTGACATAAACCAAAATTCAAGCTTACTTTTATAAAATTGCTCTAACAGTCTTCAAAAAATAATAAGCCGGATCCAATTCGAAGTTAAAGAACAACGCAATCTGCAACATTAACTGAATTAGATAATTTTAGCTTAGCTTATACCGTCTGTTATACATTAAACGTGCATTTGTAAACGTATTTTGCGCACACGTATATTCGCAGCCGTAAAGGTCTTACGCGCACGCGTAAATGCCTATGTGCATGCGTCAACGCGACGCATGCGCAGAAAGTTTGCTAGGTGCAACTTTGCCGGTTTACAACATGATGTCCGAAGGCACAAAACGTGATGAGCACTTGACATGGAGAGAATCTCTGAGGTGAGAAATTTATTCTGCACTATTTGAAGTTGATGTAATTGATTAGGAGAGGCAGAAAGAATAGGTCGGATATAAGTAGTATAAATATGTCTCTTGGTTCTTAGGCTAAGTCCATAAACGCTACCATAGTTCTATTTATATAGGCATCCCAACTGTTGCCATTCACAAGTTACTAAATACTAAATGTGAATGTTGCCACTAAATATTGCACTGAATAGGGTCCTGATTATTGCCCAGTTTCGTGCCTATTTCCATCACCTGGAATATAATTTCTCATGTCAAGCAGCCTGTGGCCCCATTTTTTTTTAATCTCTGACTACTTGTGTGATTGTTCATGTAAATTCTTGGGCCTATAATTGTCGTTCTTTATGTGTGTTATGCCTCAGAACTTTTTCTGTACATACCAAATTCAATTCTTCGGAGCTTGCACAGAACTTTCTCGTAAAATAACTTCTTGTCAGCAGCTCGTTTCATTCTTTGTTTACAATTATACTGCTTCTGTATCAGAAATTTTCGTCGTTATTAATTTTTTTTACATTACCAAGGAAGTTACACCTCGAATCCGAACCCTCTACCTCAAAGATACGATAGGAGGACCTCTACACACCGCGGCTTCTATTAGAAAAACTTCAGTGTAATAATCTGGCAATCTGTCATTGCCGAAAATGTCTGCGAGTTCTAAACGTACTGTTTATGTTGGTAAGAAATCAATATTATTATTTCCTTGTAAGTTATATATATAGATGAAATTATATACATTTTGATAATGGTAAAAACAGAAATTTCTGTCTGAGGGACCATTTCGTTTGAAAGCTAACATATGTAAAGCAATTTCAAATTGAAATTTTGTTTTAGATTGTAGTATGATATTAAAATTCTCACCCACCTAGTGTATAATCATTGTTAATTTAGTCGATTTTCCTTATTATTTAGGTCGGTATAGATCTAAGTACCGAAGACTTAATATCTGTTTACTTTTTTATATCAGATATTAACATTTATTTGATTCTGTGTGTCAATATGTAATATAATTATGACACGTTTTTTGTCGGAGCTGTCGACAGAAGCATTTTATCTCTTCTGCTGATTACCTTGGAGAATTTTACCCGAATTAATAAACCCATTTTCTTTTCATCTTTTCTCTCCTGCAATAAAATGTTTCTTTAGGAAGTCATAGACAGCTTGTTTTTTGAATCTTTCCATAAATTTCGCACAAGATTTTCATCTGTTTATATACATGTGGATATTTCTCATTTAAATGCGCAATATTTAACTTAAACATTTTCCGGTACAATTCTGTTAGAGCGGCCTCAGTTAAAAATTCGCCAACAACTATGCCAAATATCTTGGCTTGAGAATTTAACATTTGAAATATCATTCCTGGCTATTTTGAATATTTTTTATGTACATTTAAAATAATCATGGCACGAGATTTCTAGTTTTCATTTGAAATATCGTCACTAGTTATTTTTTTGGACACTTTTTTTTAGTGCGATGGATTACACAATTTGGCAGTTACCTAATGACGAAGAGGCTGCGATAAGATTCTTTCAGGATAAAGGAATAATTCATAGCAATAGACTTTGTTCTCAAAATCATTCAATAAACTTAACTTTTGACTCAAGCAAAGCTCCTATATGGCGTTACGTATGTTCTTGCCGTGAAAAAAAGGATTGAGAACCACAACATGTTTTGGAGGCTTACGTTTTACTTTCCTTGATGCCGCTCGTTTCATCTATCTGTGGTGTCAAGAACTGATGTCGATTGAATTTTGTAAACTTCAATTAGAAGTGAGCCGTAATACAACAGTAGATTGGAGTAACTACTTTGGAAGTATGTGCAAGTAGTTTGATGTCTCTTAACCCTTTTGCCATCCTCTCCTGTCTGTGAAAATTTCTCCCCATCAGGCCGTCTGTTTTTCGTAGCGTGTAATGTTCTTTTCTCTGTGCATCATAACTTTCCATACATAATTTTTGTAGTGAATGAATGTCAATGAATGTTAAGTAAAATTATAAGGAAATAAAGCATAATTGAAAAATAATAGGTTGATCTTTACATTATGGTAACTTGGCATTTTTTAGGCGAAAATTTGGTGACCAACTCTCCTACAGCAACCCTCTATTTTTTTTTTTCCCGCCGCCATTTTGTCTTCACGAAGTAAAGACATGTTTGTTTTCTTTTTATCTACTGAACACTTCTTCCAACAATCTACTAGCCGAATTACACTTATGCTAGAAATTTTATCTAACAAAACTGCTTAATCATGACAAATATTCACTGCAATATTGGGAAAAAGTGCACAATACCATGCTCCTTACGCGTTTTTCAAAATAACACATACACATAAACCATGTACACGCCGACTTATTTTTACTTAAAAAAACATCTCAGAATTACACAAAAATGGCATTGCGCACACTCTTCACTATATCCACGTACACTGCTTTTTTCTCATAAATTAGAAAAATTTCATGAAAATACATGACAATTTTCTGAATCTTTAAATCCGGTAAAAAGAACATATATGAAATTACCTGATCGCGAAAAAGTTTATACCCTTTCCAAATATGAACATTTCCACATATAAAATAAATAAAATATCCATAAACTTTTACCTCTAAATCATCTATTATATTATACACGTCACCAACGAATTCATACCGCAAGCATTACAAATACTTAGTGTCAAATATTTAAATTATTTCCATGCACGGTTACTTCAACTTAAACATATACCAAATTCCTACAAACATAAAATTCACAAAATAACTATCATTTAATTAAAATATCACTAAACCATGTACACGTCGACTTATTTTTACTTAAAAAAACATCCCAGAATTGCACAAAAATGGCATTGCGCACACTCTTCACTATATCCATGTACACTGCTTTTTTCTCATAAATTAGAAAAATTTCACGAAAATGCATAACAATTTTCTGAATCTTTAAACCCGGTAAAAAGAACATATATGAAATTACCTGATCGCGAAAAGTATATACCCTTTCCAAATATGAACATTTCCCCGTATAAAATAAATAAAATATCCAAAAACTTTTACCTCTACATTATCTATTATATTACAAACGTCACTAACTAATTCATACCACAAACATTACAAATACTTAGTGTCAAATATTTAAATTATTTCCATGCACGTTTACGCAAATTACTTTAGTTCCACCTCACATTTAGAACAATGCATAAAAATAATATCCTCAAATAATTAAAAATACTAACTTACCTATTCTTCTTCAGAATCTTGATTACGTGTCCGATAAACTTTTCTTATTTCTGTTTCAGGATCTTTAAAATCATACTTATAGTTCACACCAAGGTACCAGGTAAAATAAATAACTTAATAAAACATCTTTACTTCTATCTTGCACAACCTTAAAGAAACACTTATTACTACCCCTTTCAATCCCACTAAATACCCATTTCGAATTCACTTTAGTTAGGGCCATGGGATCCAAAAATTATCGAACACTGTTTTCATTTCACACAACACAGAATAAAGCCAAATACAAAAATTTCCAGATTTTTTCCCGATTTCCCCCCTTTTCCGATTAAAGAACTGTAATTCGTCCATTAATATCACATGACATATCCCATGATCTCTCATTTCCCTCACACAAAATAATGCGTTATCGGAACTGAGTACTGCTCACATTATTACCAAAGTCCCAGGTAGTAACCTTTATCGCCTCCAAAATGTCACCAAACTACCAGTTACCATATTCTAAAGATCAGCCTAATAAATATCTCTGTTTATTTCTAACAGCAGGCTAATTTGATAACATCGGTTCCAGGCGGTCCACTCATATCATTTTGTTGTAATCTTTTACAATTATTATTTTTTTTTTTTACAGTTCTTTTCCATCTTCCAACATCAATCATCAAGTTATTATGGACAGTACTCATCAAACGTATATCCTTCTTGTCTTTCCAATTCACAACCTCATTTTTTCTCTTTTGCTGCTGAGTAGATGTTGAAGCCCTCTCTCACTGTCTTGTATCTTATGTAAAATGGCGCGAATATTCCTAAAACCCGGGGTAAATTCAATTAGAAATAGATTGCCTGATTACTGCTGCCCTCTAGGAGGTATTAGAACAAACAAAAATAAAAACTCAAACAAGTAAACATTTAGAAAGCATTTTAAAGTTTTAAAATGTAGAAGAATGCTTGGGGTAGAGTAGACTTGAAGGTACCCCTTGTATTATGGCAAAATTATTGTTTGATTTATCACCCAAGTTGTTGTTTCATTTAACGTAGTCTGAGTAGTTGAATGTTATGGAAACCCTATTGTGATGTAATCGGGTGCATGATTCTAGGAAATTTTGAATCATAAGATGTTTTGTAAGCGTTTTTGTGGTGTGTGTTGGTTTGATTCTTTAGAGGGTAGAATGGCCGAATGTAGTAAGATTAATTTGAAGTTTCTGTACGATTTGGAGCGAAAGGGAAAAGAGCTTTAATTGACTGGTGTGTAAATGAAGGTTCACTTAGTAGCCATTATAAGTGTCCTGGATGTAGGAAGGATATGCGTTTAGTCGAACGTAAAAACCGTTTAGATGGAATTTGAATGGGTTTGTAGGAAGAAAGGTTCAGATGGTCACTATGTGAAGCGTTCGATCAGAAAGAGTACCTGGTTTGAAAAAAGTCATTTGAGTATGATTGATATTTTGATTTTTACGTGGCTCTGGGTATACAAAGCGAACTCGAAAATCATGGGAAGTGAATATTTGCTTTTGGTAGTGCTTAAATGTATAAAATGTTTTTCCTTTTTTATGTAATTTTATTGTTTGGTTTAAAATGTATTTTATTGAGATTATGTATTCTTTGTTTGCCTATATTGTAGAATTTGGTGCTTCTTTGACTTTTTAAGTGAAAATATATCGATGTGTACATGGACAAAGTAAAGGGAGTGCGCAATGCAAGTTTGTGCAATTCTGGGATTTTTTTTTTCAAGTAAAAATAGGTCGACGTGTACAAGGATAAAGTTAAAAGAGTGCGCAATGCCATTTTTGTGCAATTCCGGGATTTTTTTTAAAAGGAAAATAGGTCGACGTGTACATGGATAAAGTCAAAGGAGTGCGCAATGCCATTTTTGTGCAATTTAGGGAATTTTTTTTAAAGTGAAAATAAGTCAATGTGTACATGGATACCTAGTTTGTGCAATTGTGTTTCTTGTTATTTTGGCTTTGTGTAGCGGCGATTTTTGGCGCAAAAATAACGAGTCAAAGAATTGCACAAAATCAGTATCCATGTACCGCCCAAAATCGCAAAGTTTCACCAAGCGGTACTCTAAACTATACTTTTACCGAATGCTTGTAGTGCATTACGGCCGCCTTGTGGAAGTTTCACTAGAACGTGCTAGACGCATTACGGACGACAAAGAGGTTAAAAGATTAAAATCGGTAGCCAACAAAATCATAGAAATAGACGAAAGTCTTTTTACAAGAAGGAAAAATAACGGACGTATTATTCTGGAACAATGGGTATTTGGTGGTTTATGCTGGGAAAGCAAAAAATTTTTTCTGGTCACTGTTCCTGATCGTTATGGTATGACATTAATGGCTGCCATTCAAACAAACATCACGGATGGCAGCATTATACTTTCAGACTGCTGGAAAGGATATAAGGAAGAAGAAATGCTGGGTATGGACATTTCACTGCGTATCACAGCTGTAATTTTGTAGACCCTGAAACTTGATGCCGTATCCAAACTGTGGTGTGATTGTGGGGCAGTGCTAAATGGAGAAACAAACTGCTTGCCACCATTATTTAGAATCATATTTAATAGAATTTATGTGGCGTCGACTATACTCAAAAACTCAAAATTTTTCTGCAGTAGTGAATGATATTTGTAATTTTATGCCACCTGTTTAGACTGTATATCTTTTTTTAAATTATATATGTGTAGAATAGTTTAAGTTTGCTTATAATGATTATAAATATTATCTAAATATATAATAACCTTTACACTGAATTGTAAACATAAATTGAAATCCTGTTGACAAATTCGTTTATAAAACTATTTAAGCAAGAATTGTTCGTACTGGAAAGCAAACTGTTAGAATATGTATTGTTGAAATTAAGAGTAAAAAAAAATCTGATAAGTATAATTAAAAGAATTAATCCCTCATCACTTACAAGTTTTATATAATACTTTTGTAATCCTTAACAGAATAAAATCTAATTACCTTAAAATTTTTTTCTAATATAATTAACAAAAACGGGTAGAGTAGACTGAAGGTTTACCCTTTGTGTTATTGAAGTTGGTGTTTCGTTTATGGTAATCTGAGTAGTTGAATGTTACAAAAACCCTATTATGACATAATAAGTTGCATGATTCCGGTAAATTTTGAATTATGGGATGTTTTGTAAGGTCTTATGCTATGTGTTGGTTAGAAAATACATTTCTTGATAAGCCTTAAGTATGTGCAAGAAATAGACATAAGTATAATAAATAACTAAACTAATACAATTCAGGCTTAATTGTCTCAGTGCGCGATAGAAGCAAGATAAAATTTAATGGAACAACTTGTCGTTACTCGACAAGCTCATGATGCATAAGCAAATATGTATAGTGAAGACAGCTAAATTTGATGATGATAGCCACTAATTTTAAAGGTTTTTGGATATCGCAAAACAAAGGTGAAATTTTTCAATTAACGGATTTTGTAAAGAAATGTGGAGAAGCGGTAATAAATGAAGATGATATAAAAGAAGTTTTTCATTGTGATGACAATGCTTCTCAATCATCAATCAATTAATGAATGGCTAAATCTGTAGTATGGTTCTAGATCCAGAAAGTACAGCTACTGATAGTAAAGAAAGTGACAGAGAAGTTACTCAAAACTAGAAAATTTCGATTGACAAGTTAGTCGGAATTCTTGAAACAGCAGTTACAGGACTTCAACAATATAGCTAAACAAGAGATTATGTCTGTCTACAGAATTAAAGAGAAAGTTACTAGTACAAAAAATGAAGTAACTTAAATAACTTACATTGAAAGAAGTGTTTAATAAAATAAACAAATAAATATTAAGTGGTTTTTTTTTTTTTTTTTTTTTTTTCAAATTTTGTTACCCTTTAGATCATAAATACTTAATTATTTCATAAATCATAATTTCATATTTTTAACTTTATAATTTCTATATGTGGACTTTGTTCCGTATATATTTTTTTATTACTACTATATGTACTTGGCCATTTAAACAGTTTGTCCATATAAAATGTACATATTTCAAAACTGTATTAATGTATAGATGAAATTGCTTGTTAATTTTTTCCATTATGTAAATTAAAAATGCTAGCTTAATGTAAAAGTTGTAGTAATAAGTCATTAATTTAATATATTAAGATATTAAAGCAGATAAAATGCAAGCTTAATTCAGCATATTTATTGGCAGACATGTGTGTGAAATTAAATTAAACCAGGTACTGAAATTTTGTTACTATTAAAATTGTTAATAACAACCTTATTCTGAGATCTTATTCTTGTTTAAAAAAGTAAATAACTAAAAAAATTATGCTTATAATTTAAAATTACTATTTTATGTGAATAAAGCAATTTTTTACAGGAGTTGCAGGGTTTGAATTGTTCTGCCCCTTTAAGAATCTGGATATTCATTATTATAATTGTTTCCATTGCTAATTACCCTTACCCTATCACTAAAGTCACTAAAGCTTCATGCAAAATTTCTAAAAGCATTACAAATGAAATCAGTGTTTATATCTTGTAATTTTTCAAAATTTTATTTTATTTTCAGTATCATGATTTTGATTTTTGTTACATATTTTTTTTAGGTGGGCTTGCAGAAGAAGTTAATAAAGATATTATTCATGCTGCTTTTATTCCATTTGGTGAAATAATTGATATTCAAATTCCTTTGGACTATGAAACACGTATCCTTTTATTTTTGCTCACATTATCATTATTTTTCTTTTATGCCAATGTTTCTTCTGATCAAAAACCAGTAATTTTTTACATTTGATTCAGTACTTTCCTTTTAATGACAAAGTAAAAGAAAGAAATACTTTCTTGCTAAGTTGTAAATCATCAAGTTGTAATCCATAAGAAAATTTCACGAACCTAACACATGAAAAAACAATAACTGTTTAAAAAAAGTTGGTGGACTGAAAATTTCACAAAACAGCAACAAATTAATGGAATAAAAAATGCAGCTAACATGCATAATAAAGTACTTAACTTTCTTTTTTTGCTATCTTTTGCCCATGTGAACAGAGATATGTTCTAACTGAGAATTGCACTTATTCAGACAAATATTATCACAGTTACCTAGGTACAGCTCATAAACTACTTCTAAGTTGCAAGATTTCTGTAATAATTGTTGGAAAATATGACTTATTGTAACCTTTTTACTGCATCACCTCTCCTCCTTGAAATGTTTATTAGGCTTAGTTCTTATTTTAAAGTAATATAGTAGTTACTTCTACTTCTTTTTTTCTACTGCCACTGTTTGTGTTGAGAACGGACTGTTTCAACCTAATTAAGATGCAAAAACGAAACGTGATGTTACATCATCTGGAAAGCCGAATTGTGCCGATAGCTGATTGGTTGCCGTGAGACGACGTCATGCCTACTTCTGGTATAAGTATCTCGCATCGCTCTGGCTCACCCTTCTAGTTTCTGCTTTCCTGGCTCTTGGGTGTGCGGTTTCCAGCCCCTTTTGAAGGTTGCGTGCAGTCCAGTGAATAAGTTCCTTGGTTCCTGTCCACAAGATGACTATTCCTGAATAAGCTCCTTGGTTCCTGTATACAAGATGACCTTTCCAGAATAAGTTCCTTGGTTCCAAAAGCTACAATGTGAGTGACTGCCGTGGGCGGCATCCATGTTCTTCATGAAGGCAGCATTTAAAAATAAGTTAGCGGCGATTCCTCGTGCTCAACTACTGTAAGTGGAGTTAGGCCGGATTTAAGTGCTTTCAAGGACTTAATTTAAATTTCAGGTGCTTTCTTGACCATTGATCATGGACTTATTGAATATGTAGCCAATTTCATTTGAGACCGCATAATTTCTGTTTAGGACATTTTGTTTGTATTGAATGCCAATATTTTTGGAGATCAGGTAAAATATTATTTGATGAATGAAAGTTTGAAAATGATGGTTATATTATATTTTTTTTCCAAGACTCTGATACTGTTTAAATTGATTCTTTGTGTTTTTATTTTTTTTTATATATTGTTAATAAATTGGTTAAGTTTGAAACCTCTTTATTGTCTTCAATGTCTGCACAACATATAATTTCAAGGAGCTTTGCTACTACTGCTAAATGTTTAATTTTATAAACTTCAAACTTTGCTTTAGCATCATTTTGGTTATGGGCCAAGCCCCTGAGTTATCTTTGGTGCAGACTTTTGAAGTTTAAAGTTAATTTAGGACTTAAGAGATTGGGGGCCGGTTTTTGTTGAAATTCAAATATGGCTACTGTTAATGTTATGCATAATATTGCTAAACTTGAGGCATGTAATTACTTTACATGGTCTAAAGATATGAAGTTTGTTTTAAATGAGAAAAATGCATGGCTTTTGGTCAAAGGTATTGAAAAATGTCCTGATTTAAATGATGTTAAGGGTATTACAAAAGAAATTATTGCCGATTATCAAAATAGAAGTCGTTTGGCATTATCTTTAATTTATATGAATGTAAGCCCTGAATATAGAAACTTAATAAGTGAAATTGATGACCCGGTAGTGGTATGGAATACGCTTGCCAAATACTTCCAGCCAGATTATCGATCTATGTCCGTGTTTAGACATATGTCCTTGTTTTCATTCAAATTCTTAAATTGTAAAATTAAGCCAAATGAAAGTATTAGTTTTCGTTTTCTTTTCTTCTGGATTAAAAAAACGGGTAACTGAACAATTAGCTGATATTAATCAGGCTGTAAGAGATGTATATACATATGTTTTCAGTTTCTTAGGTTCCTTCTAGATAAATATGATCAAGTAGTTTCAGAATGTTTTGAGGTGGCCAGATGAAAAGTTCATATTTAAAAATGTTGAACTTGAAATACTAGCAGAGGAAACGCATCTTAATTTAAGAGAAGATAGATAGGGAAAATTCCAATAAGACTATAGAAGTTTCAAAGTACTCACTTGTGAACCCAAATTTAAGCAGATTAAAGGCCTCAAGTGTTATAAATGTGGCCGTTCAGGTCATATTCAAAAATACTGTAGAATGAAAGGTAATTTTTCCAGATCACATCCTCGCCTGCTTCTTCTGTTTCCTCAGCTGTATCTAGTAGTAATAAAACATCTTCTAAGTGTAAGAATAAACCCAAGTTGTTCACATTTTGATTTAATCACAAAAATAATTCCCATGCTCAGTCCCATTTTATAGCTCAAGCTAATGTTAACAACTTGGAGGAAAATGGATGATAGTTGGATTTTTGATACTGCTTGCATCTCATCATTTTTGTAAAAATCGTGAATTGTACGATACTTTTTCTCCTGTGAAAAATGAGAATGTGCTAGTAGCTATTGATGGGGTAACTTTTCCAATTCATGGGAAAGGTACTGTTAAAATGAAATTTGGGGATACAGTTATTTTGCTTAAAGATGTTTTATATTCACCTGAACTGAGACAAAATTTAATATCTGAACCTAAGGTGGATATCAATGGAGCAAGATTTTATGGTAAAAATGGGCAAATTAAAGTTACTGATGATGAAAATGAAACCTTGTACAAAGCTAAGTTGATAGGAAGTAACTATCATGTATTCCCGAAAAATAGTGAAAAAGGGGGGCAAATCTGTGAAATTTGAGGCATCCACATAGTTCAGCATAACAATAGTGAATTCATGGCATGGTCGGTTTGGTCATATAAATTATGGTGGTATTGTCAGGGCTAGTAAGAGACATTCAGTTCAAGGTCTTCCTGTGTTAAAGCACTCGCCTAATTTGTTTTGTGAACATTGCCAAATCAATAATCAAAGACGAATCTCTATAGACCCTTAGAAGGTATTCAAGTAAAGAGGCTGCTTGAAAGGGTTTTTCTGATGTATGGGGACCTATTAACATTCCAGGTAGGAATAGTGAACGTTATTTCGTTTCCTTTATTGACGAATATTCTCATTATGTGGTAGTGGAGAAAAGTCAGGTGTTTGAAGTATTTGAAAGACATATAGCACGTGCGGAAAGATCTTTGAACCTTAAGTTGAAATACTTTAGAACTGATAATGGACGAGAATATGATAATGAACAATTCAGGTCATATTGTAATAAAAATGGTGTAAAGCATGAATTTACAGACGTATATACTCCAGAAGAGAATGGAGTTTGTGAGAGATTCAATCAAACAGCTCTCAACAATGTACGTGCAATCTTACATGATAGTGGAATAAGTCCTGAATTTTGGTCAGATGCAGTAATGTATTTTGCATATTCATTTAATAGAATTTGTCATAAGGGCCAAGATAGAACCCCATTCGAATTGTATACTGAGCGGAAACCATCAGTACGTCACCTTAAGGCATTTGGAACGATTGCCTATGTGGGAATTCCAAAAGGCTAAAAGAAACTCTAAGCTTGATCCAAAGGCAACGAAAGGGCCGATTGATTGGATACAGTGTACGAACAAAAAGGGTACAAGATTTGGTTGGAAAATGAAGCAAAAAGGTAGTAGAAACCCTAAACGCTACTTTTAAAGAGTCAGTTGGAATGCAGAGAAGTTGGCAGTGGAGCTGCACTGGGCACCCTTCCTTGATTTGGAATCTGAAGAGAGGTTTAGAGTTCCAATCTACTGATACTCCAGTTGGCTATTTTCCTGAAATAGAGGAAAGAACCGATACCAATGTACCTTCTTCTATACCTAGCACTAACACTCAATCTACATTGAGACAAGTAACTTGGCTTCGTAAACCTGTTCCAAGGCCAGACGGCACTCATACAGATGGATGTGTAGTATTTTGAGAGGGGGTCTAATCAAAGACTACGATCACCAAATGATGTAGAAAGGTATTGCACTGAGCATAATATTCAGTATGATCCTATCTTGTTTGATTTCAAGGGAAGCAATACTTATAGTGGTGAAATCGACCCAACTGGCACTCCTTCAACGTCATATACCCAAAATAGCTGACTAGAGGTTTCAATTCCAAACACTTATAGCCAGGCAATGAAATCCACAGAAAACCTTAAATGGATAGAGGCAATGGAAGAGGAAATGGCCAACATGTGAAAGCATAAGGTATGGCATTCTTGTTCCACTTCCTAAAGACAAGACTCTGCTAGGTTGCAGGTGGAACATTAAATCAACATTTCAACATTAAACGTGATGAATTTGGAAACATTGTTTGTTTTAAAGCTTGTTTAGTGGCTCAGGGTTATCGGCAAATTAAATACGATACCTATGATGAAACATACTCTCCTGTAGTTAACTTTTCAGTAATAAGGCTCTTTATCTCTCTTTTAGTTGCACACCTTGGATGGGCAAATATACAATGCGACGTAAAAAGTGTCTATCTCTGCGCTCCTTTATCAGAGGAAATTTACGTGTCCCAACCTCAGGGTTTTGTAGAGCGAGATAAAGAAACTTTTGTGTGTTGTTTAGATAGAGCCTTGTATGGTCTGCATCAGAGTGGGCAATTATGGTACTACGAGTTGGATAGAACACTATGTAACCTAGGGTTTACCAAGTTTGAGTTAGTGTAATTGTGTCTATCGTTTTAAAGATTTTGTCATTTTGTTGGTTTATGTTGATGATATTGTTGTGTTTGGAAAAAGTGAAGTTCAAGCTAAAAGGATATTTAAAGTCTGAATTTACATTTTGATTTGAAAATTTTAGGTAAAACAAGAAAGCTTTTGGGTGTGGAATTTGAATATGAGAACAATAGTGATTTGATTCATCAACAATTATATATAGAAGACATAGTTGATCGTTTCAAGTCTTTTAAAATACAAATTACTTCCCTTCCAATAGTTAAAGGTGTGAAATACTCAAAGTCCCAGTACACAAGAAGAAACGACTGAAATGATGAATTATCCTTATAAGAAATGTTTTGGGATGTCTCTCGTTTCTTTGTAATCGTACTCGTCCGAATATAGCTTGTGCTGTTAATATATTTTCTCAGTTCCAAAGCAATCCTGGTAAGTTTCACTGGGAAGGATTACTTAAACTTTTAGGATATGTTTCCAATACCAGACAGCACAAACTTAAACTGGTATGCAAGGAACTGAAGCTCAATATATATTCAGATTCGGATTTTGCTCCAAGCAGGGATGATATGGTGTCTATTGGTGGACAAATAGCTTTGTTGGGAGAATCACCTGTATCTTGGCGTACATTTAAAGAAAGGGGGGTGAGTTTGTCTACTATGGAAGCTGAATTTATCTCCATGACTGAATCAGCAAAAGAATTAGTTTGGTTTAAAAACATTTTGGATGAATGCATTCAGTTTAAAATTGCAAGTAACTATGTTTCAAGACCAATATTGTTTGCAGATAACATGGCTGCTATATGTTTTACAAAATCACCCATTGAAAACTCAAGGACAAAACATATAGATGTAAAACTATTTTTCATTCGTGATCTATTGAACAGGGAAATTTTTTATTTAAAATATGTTCCAAGTAAAGATAATCTGGCTGATCCCATTGACAAAACCGCTGACTAAGCATAACCTGATATAAGATTTTGTGGAACAATTTTCTTGTGAAACTTGTTTTCTGTGTATTTAATTTTAAATTAAGAGTTTTGTTTAGTTGAAAAATAATATGTTATAAGTCATATATGATGAGTATTAGTAAATGTAAAACTGTATAGTGTAGAATGTTGTTGATTGACCAGAGCCCTGGGTAAAAGTATTGAGTGTCTGATCATACATTGTCTATTGTATCATTTTGTAACATGTTGGACTTTCTTGTTATTGTAAAATTTTGAATAATGACATAAGATGTTCCCAAAGGAAAATATTCTTAAAAATTTTTGAATTGAATGAAATTGTGATATTTATTTATTCTTGTTTTGAATTTTGTAAAGATACTGGCGTTCAATTTTCTTTTAGGTTGGAGATGATGATGTGGGGGGCATTTTTTGGGAAAATATGACTTATTGTAACCCTTTTACTGCATCACCTCTCCTCCTTGAAATGTTTATTAGGCTTAGTTCTTATTTTAAAGTAATATAGTAGTTACTTCTACTTCTTTTTTTCTACTGCCACTGTTTGTGTTGAGAACGGACTGTTTCAACCTAATTAAGATGCAAAAACGAAACGTGATGTTACGTCATCTGGAAAGGTTGCCGTGAGATGACGTCATGCCTACTTCTGGTACAGTCAAAAGTCGTTAATCCGGACTCGTCGGGACTTCGGCGATTCCCGGATTATCGATTTTTCCGGATTATAGATCATCAGTTTAAATCTCGTAAGATGGCATGCAGAAATTCTAAAATTAAAAATATGAAACCGTAATTTATGAAATAAAGAACAATTATGATCTAAAGGGTATCAAAATTTGCAAAAAGAAAAAGCTTAATATTTATTTGTTTACTTTATTAAACATTTCTTTCAATGTAAGTTGTTTAAGTTTTGCTTCGTTTCATGTGATAATACTTTCTCTTTAATTCTATTAAACAGACATAATTTCTTGTTCAGTTACAAAGTTCCGCCGTTCAAGTCCTATAATTGCTGTGTCAAGAACACCGACTAATTTGTCAATCGAAATTTTTTTCGTTTTCAATAACCTCTGTTCACTTTTCTTCGACTATCGGAAGCGAATTATAATGACGAGGAACTTGTTTTAAATCATATCAAAGACGGAGCATGCATCGAGATGAAATACTACATTTGGTAAGGCAATTATAAGCCAAATAAAATAAAAACATCTGCGCTTGAAGATAAGGATAGTGCTGACAAGATCAACTTCCAAATTCATTGTGCGCCGAGGCATTCGCCCGCCGCCGAGCACTGCGTGAAATTGATAAACAGATTTCGGATTTCGAAACATACTTTCGCTTTAGATCCTTTACATATTAACAAATATATATCGTAAATTCTATTTGATATAATCAAAGTTTAAGCTTACTTTTATAAAATTGCTCTTACAGTCTGCAAAAAATAATAAGCCGGATGCAATTCGAAAATTAAGGAACAACGCCATCATCAACATTAACTGAAATAGATAATTATTTAGCTTATACGTCCATTATACATAAATACGCACGCGAAACGTACGTATTCTGCACTTGCGCACACTCATATGCGCAGTCGTAAAAGGTCTTACGCGCACGCGTGAACGCCTCTGCGCATGTGTCAACGCGGCGCATGCGCAGAAAGTTTTTAGTTTTGATGTCCGGATTATAGATCATTCCAAATTATGGGTGTCCGAATTAACGACTTTTGACTGTATAAGTATCTCGCATCGCTCTGGCTCACCCTTCTAGTTCCTGCTTTCCTGGCTCTTGGGTGTGCGGTTTCCAGCCCCTTTTGAAGGTTGCGTGCAGTCCAGTGAATAAGTTCCTTGGTTCCTGTCCACAAGATGACTATTCCTGAATAAGCTCCTTGGTTCCTGTATACAAGATGACCTTTCCAGAATAAGTTCCTTGGTTCCAGAAGCTACAATGTGAGTGACTGCCGTGGGCGGCATCCATGTTCTTCATGAAGGCGGCATTTAAAATAAGTTAGCGGCGATTCCTCGTGTTCAACTACTGTAAGCAGAGTTAGGCCGGATTTAAGGCTTTCAAGGACTTAATTTAAATTTCAGGTGCTTTCTTGACCATTAATCATGGACTTATTGAATGTGTAGCCAATTTCATTTGAGACCACATAATTTCTCTTTAGGACATTTTGTTTGTATTGAATGCCAGTATTTTTGGAGATCAGGTAAAATATTTGATGAATGAAAGGTTTGAAAATGATGGTTATATTATATTTTTTTCCTAAGACTCTGATACTGTTTAAATTCTTTGTGTTTTTTTTATATTGTTAATAAATTGGTTAAGTTTGAAACCTCTTTATTGTCTTCAATGTCTGCACAACATACAATTTCAGGGAGCTTTTATTGCTACTACTGCTAAATGTTTAATTTTATAAACTTTAAACTTTGCTTTAGCATTAATAATGTAACATCAAAGATAAATTCAAGCTAGACAAATGCTTATTTTATATGCATTTGATTACTTTAATAATGAAAATCAATCTGGACAATATTTACATTTTTACAGCCCGCAGATACACTATTCATCTATCTGCTTTAAAATCTCTTCAATACAGTCTGTTTGCTTTCCCTTCTGACATTTTATTTAAATGAATTTCCCAAGATAACTCAAATAATTTGATCATTTATAAAATATAACTTCATGGGATGCGTATTCCTACACTCTCTACCACTAAGCAAAATGCCATACTTCTGAAAAATTGCAACATTTTCATTTTCATCAGCAAGCAGACTCCACAGTTGCATTATGATCTGCTACTAGAAAAGAAAAGGCAAAAAAAAAAAAAAAAAAAAGAAGAAGAAATTCTACATGCTAATCACAAGCAGAAAACACACACACAAAAATAGTGGCAGTATGCCAGCACGTAATGTGCATGCAGCCATTAATGGGTTGCAAGATAAAATACGTTTATGTAAAATTTTGAGTTGCCAACTTTGCCTGATGATTCTTGTTATGATTGATCAGAAAATATGATAGTACTCATATGATTTATTCTTGCTATCGAGTCAAATTTAATAGCCCCTTTAATATATGTATGAATTATTTGACATATAAATGTTTTTCTTTTAATCTTGTTTTTAGCCTCAGTAAGTTTTCTTTTTCTTTTTCTTTTTTTTTTTTTTTTAATGCATCCATTTATATATTTTATTGCTTACATTTACTTCTACAAAGTAGCTTCCTTATAAAATAGTCACTTTTGTATAATGAGTTTTTAATTGAATCTGTTAAAATATTTTCTCATAAAAATACCTATTTTATAAAGTACATTTTGTAAATTCTATAAGTTATTCTTTAAGACCATATGTGTATGTTTTTTGTTTGTGAATGTAGTAGACTTCTATGTTAGTACATTTATATTCCCTTAATATGTGTAGAGAAACATAGAGGCTTTGCCTTTGTGGAATTTGAAGCTGCTGAGGTCTGTAGTTTTCTTTTGCCCTTTCTTCTTATTATGCATATTTGTATATTTTCTTCTAAGGGGAATGTAAACTTTCTAAGCACCACTGTGTACCGTAAACCCTTTGCAGTTTGTTTACCACCCCATGCCAAGTCATGCCACCCTGTTAAGCAAAAAATGGCTTCTTTTTACTATTATGTTTTCCGCGTGCTAAAAGTTTGTTCCTCTGAATCTTGCTTACCAATGAACTTAATATTTGAGAGCAGTAGTTGCGATTGACCGTGGATTTTCTTCTCCCGTGATTATTGATAAAGCCGTCAAAAAATTTCAGATTCCCATCAAGAGAGATATTCCACTGTTAGAAATAATATCAATGACCTTGTCGTGCTTCCATTTTATCCTTCTGTTAGCTATAAAATTGCACGATTCTCCAGAAATTCAATTTTCAAGTCGTTTCGTTCTTCCCTATTAATAAAATTCACCCTTCGATTCTAAAAGATTGCGTTTCTGTCTTGAATTCTTGGGGAATTTATAGTATATCATGTCAGTGTGGTTTAAGATATATTGGCCAAACAAAAAGAGCGTTGAAGTTTCGTATCAAGGAACATGAATCTTATGTCAGAAAAGGGGAAATTAAACAAGTCTTCAATAGCGTATCATAGCTGGACTTTTTAACCATAATTTTGATTTTGGGTCTGCAAAAATCATCCAAAAGGCTTCTTCTTCTTCTTCCATAGGGCGAATTGGATTTTCTTGAGGCTTTTCACATTCACAAAGATTTAGAAAGTTTAGTTAATGATTTGAAGTCCAATCCAGTCCTTCCTAATGCCTTTAAAATTCTACTGTCTTAATTCAATTATTTTTGCCGATAGATGGCGTTACCACCTCCTCGCACTTGGTACTACTACCAGAGGGTATAAAAATCCGTTCAGTGGTTGCTTTCCATTATTTGAAGTTCAGATTTTGAGCGTAATGTGCATTTGCCCTCGCTCCCTATTTTAACTTCGCTAATATTTCTTTATGCTTGATCAGACAGCCTGGCTCAGTAAAAGTAGGCGGCCAGTGCAACTCTGATTAAAAATCTAGTTATAACGACGTGCAGTGCTGATAAGCACCACGTTTCTGTGATTCCTATTTTCTTCTTTCTATGATTTCTTTCTCCTGATGAGGAGGGACCTTTAGCTGCCCTCGAAATCGATTGAGTGTTTCATTATACCTACGCTAAATATAAGGTTGTTTTTTCACGGTTTTGATTGTCACATTAGCGTGTTTCTCTTCTAGTCTAGTTTGTGCTATCAACCGGCATTTTCGAGAATATTTTACTGTTTATTGTTTTACCACGTGAACCATTTTATTTACTTCTTTCCACGTGGCCATCATTTTTTTCGGATTTGGTTTATGCTATCAACCGGCATTTTCGAGGTAATTCTATATTTTTTTCGGTTTTACCACGTGCACGATTTTGACTTTCGTTGCTTCTTTCCACGTGGCTATTGGTTTTTCAGTATTGGATGTTTCTCTCCTTTTGGAATGTTTTTGTCATTTGTTGATGAAAATTGTCTTCATTATTTATTGGTGTTTTTTTTTTTTTTTTTTTTTTCAGTAATTAATTACTTGTTTGGACTTTCGGAATTACATTTCTTTTATTCACTTGTTTCTTGCTTGTGCCCTTTTTCACAATATGTCCCACTGACAGGAACCGATTTTGTAAGTTACGCCTTAAGCGTACGAAATTCTTGAATCATCTACAGTTTCTACTTAAATGCAAACATCAAAATTTCATTCCCAAATTTATACATGTGAAATGTAGCCTTAAAGCTTCCGTTCACGTTTCAAAATTTTGGCATAAATTCAAATTGGCACTTCTTCGTCACATTATAAGGGACACACGCAAACGTTTATCTAAAATTGAATTTGATTATATTACCTCCCTTTTCCAAAAATTGCAAATTCCACTGAAAATTTTTCCTCATTTGAACATACATCCTGGTCTAGAACCGATACCGTTGTCAACGGCATAAAAATGTGCTCATTTCTAAATTCCAAAAACTCACACACCAGTCGGATAGTCCCAATTATCTAGCTGATCTTCCCACTGTAAACGTTTAACTCCATCGTTAATATCTCTCCAATAGGAATCTTTCGGAGGATCATTTTAAAGTATTAAAATATAATTTCAACTTTTCAAAGACATCTAAACCTTCAATTCCTCAAATCATCGCCCCTATAGAGAGAAAGCCTTTAAATTCTCCAAATTTCGGAAACGCAGAAGGATACAATCCGCCACCTAATTACTCATAACGTTAATTTTAACAATAAATCTTTGGGTTCTAATCTTAGCAAAAAGGAAAATGAGATCTTACGTGAAATTAATTCTGATACTAATATCATTATCTCTAAAGCTGATAAGGGCGGACAGATCGTTGTTATGGACAAACACACATATATTACTGGAGTCTCTAAATTGATAAATGAAGGCCCATACTGCTCGATCCCTAAAGATCCTTCAACTTCGGACCTCATGAAAGTAAAAAGTGCTATTAAATCTTCCCACATTCTGCCAACTCAGTTGAAGAAATCACTTATTCCGCCTATTACTAATTGCGCTAGACTTTATGCTCTTTCCAAAAGTCCACAAAACCGGTATTCCTTTTCGACCAATTGTTTCCAACATAGGTACTGCTTCATATCCTTTGGCCAAATATTTAGTTTCCAGATTTTCCTCCTCTACTTGCTAACAATATTCACACTGTAAAAAATTCTGTTGAAGTCATTGATAAACTTAAAAATATTTCCCCACTTCGTTCCATTATGGTTTCATTTGATGTCAAATCATTGTTTACTAATGTTCCGGTCGAAGGAGCACTAAATTGTCTTGAAACTAGGCTTCGGGAATTTCACTTCACACATACTGAAATTAATGAGTTGGTTTCGCTTACTAAAGTTTCTCTATGTCAAACCCACTTTGTTTTCCAAAATGCATATTTTTCGTCAAGTTGAAGGATTGGCTATGGGTAATCCTCTCAGTCCCGGTACTTGCTGACATTTATATGCACTATTTTGAGATGAAATTATTTGATAAATTATCTTTTCGTCTTTGGATTCGGTATGTTGACGACACTTTCGCACTTTTTGACGGTTATAAAGAGGATTTATTTATCCGAGATTCTATCTATTATGAATTCAATTGATCCAGCCATCCAATTCACTCTTGAAATTGAATCCAACAATTCCCTCCCCTTCCTCGATATTCTTATAATCCGCAATGAAACCGATTTTAGCACCACTGTGTACCGTAAACCCTTTGCAGTTTGTTTGTTACCACCCCATGCCAAGTCATGCCACCCTGTTAAGCAAAAAATGGCTTCTTTTTACTATTATGTTTTCCTTCCGCGCGCTAAAAGTTTGTTCCTCTGAATCTTTGCTTACCAATGAACTTAATTATTTGAGAGCAGTTGCGATTGACCGTGGATTTTCTCTCCCGTGATTATTGATAAAGCCGTTCAAAAAATTTTCAGATTCCCATCAAAGAAGACATTCCACTGTTAGAAATAATATCAATGACCTTGTTGTGCTTCCATTTTATCCTTCTGTTAGCTATAAAATTGCACGGATTCTCCAGAAATTCAATTTTCAAGTCGGTTTTTTCTTCCCTATTATAAAAATCACCCTTCGATTCTAAAAGATTGCGTTTTCTGTCTTGAATTCTTGGGGAATTTATAGTATATCATGTCAGTGTGGTTTAAGATATATTGGCCAAACAAAAAGAGCGTTGAAGTTTCGTATCAAGGAACATGAATCTTATGTCAAAAAAGGGGAAATTAACAAGTCTTCAATAGCGTATCATAGCTGGACTTTTAACCATAATTTTGATTTTGGGTCTGCAAAAATCATCCAAAAGGCTTCTTCTTCCATAGGCGAATTGGATTTTCTTGAGGCTTTTCACATTCACAAAGATTTAGAAAGTTTAGTTAATGATTTGAAGTCCAATCCAGTCCTTCCTAATGCCTTTAAAATCTATACTATCTGTAATTCAATTATTTTTTTTTGCCGATAGATGGCGTCACCTCCTCGCACTTGGTACTACCAGAGGGTATAAAAATCCGTTCAGTGGTTGCTTTCCATTATTTGAAGTTCAGATTTTGAGCGTAATGTGCATTTGCCCCTCGCTCCCTATTTAACTTCGCTAATATTTCTTTATGCTTGATCAGACAGCCTGGCTCAGTAAAAGTAGGCGGCCAGTGCAACTCTGATTAAAAATCTAGTTATAACGACATGCAGTGCTGATAAGCACCACGTGTTTCTGTGATTCCTATTTTCTTCTTTCTATGTATTTCTTTCTCCTGATGAGGAGGGACCTTTAGCTGCCCTCGAAATCGATTGAGTGTTTCATTATACCTACGCTAAATATAAGGTTGTTTTTCACGGTTTTGATTTTCTAAGCATGCTAAGAAGTTTAAATATTACAATCATTTGCTTAGTTTAATTTTTTATAGTCATCCATATGCCATCAAATTAATCACGTAAAAGATGAAATTAATATGATTGAGCCTCTGGTAGGTTAGATTTGCTCTACCAATACATCTGATAAATGCTTAGTTGAACTGTTGCCTGAGAAATCCAGAACTCTTATTTCAATGTAATTTAGACATTGTAACATGATGTATCGCTCTGGAATATACTTCTGTAACAAAATATTGTTGAGGAAAAAATGTGCCTGATCTTCAGTAATGTTTAGGTAGATAGTGGATATCAGAGTTTTTTTTAATATATATATTAATGACTGGGCACAAAATTTGCCAACAGAATAATGAATACTTTTTGATTATCTACGCCCTCCTCCAAAAAGTCACCAAATCATTGAGGATTAATTTTCTGATTTGTCGAGGGGAAACTTAAATCTGACCTTTTTAGAAAAAGCTAAAGTCGAAGGTTTATGGCCTATATGTCTTGTAAAATGCCTGCCCCACAAATTGTGCCGAAAATGTTTTACAGCGAAATAGACTGCTAAAAGCTGTCTGTCATAGGTGCTGTACCTTTGCTCAATAACGCTCAGTTTGCTCAAAAAGATTGTAGAGGTTGCAAGTCTTTACCATTTATTACAGTGTCAGTAGTAATGTTAGAATCATTGGTTGTCAGGGATAGAAGATGATGAGAAGCATGTTAAACTATAGTTGCTAAATTCATAAGATTGCATTTACATGCTTCAAATGCTTGCATTAAAATATTGCCCCTAGGAACTGGCCATTTGGCATTTTTCCCGGTGTCTTTTAGAAGTTCATGCAAGGGTGCTTAGGTTTTGGCAGCATTTGCGATGAAAAAAATAGTAGAAATTAAACATTGCTTTGACAGACAGCTTTTAGCAATCTGTTTCGCTGTAAAACACTTTCAGTACAGTTTGGAGAGCAGGCATTGTACAATACATACGGGCCATATACCTTTGACTTTCGCTTTTTCAAAAAAGGTCAGATTCAAGTTCACCCTCGGCAAATCAGAACATTAATCCTCAATGATTTGGTGACTTTTTGGAGGAGGATGTGGATAAGTACTCATTATTAATTGCCGAAAAATGTTGTAACTCTGTAATAGTTTCAGGTTTAGGGAATTTTACTATTGCTTGAATTGAACACATTTAGCTGGGATAGTTTCAATTCATGCTGTCTGAGGTGATGGAAAACATGCCTAAGATGCTTCTTGTGCTACTTCTCATTTGATGACATGATTAGAATATCGTTTAAATGGGGCATACAAAAATCTAGGCCACCTAACACCTGATGTAAATACCTCTGACAAATCTGTCCTGCATTACAGAGGTCAAATGGTGTAAACAGAGGTTCAGGTAAACAAAAGAAGGTTGTTACAGTAGTTTTTTTTTTTTTCCATAATATAACAGTTTTTATATTTAATGAAAAGAGGTTACAAGGATGCATGTAAACACAAGTTTAACTATGCTGCTAACTGATATGCTAATTTAGTTAAAGTTTCTTTAAAGTTACGGTTTTAAGTATATGAACTAATGCAGAGTTAGGTTAGAAGGTAAATAAGAGTTCAAAAGTCATGTTACAATTAAACCAACGCAGATATTTCAAACTGCTTTGGTATGTTATTTTTGTTTTTGAGATTGTTGTTAAATTGATGATTAGATCACACCTATTTATAGATGTGAGTGCAAAAATTATTTATACTCAGTTTACAAACGTACTCAACATAGTTATATATAATCATAAAAATAAAATTAACAAATTTTTATATTTATTTTTAGGAAGCTGCCGCTGCAATTGATAACATGGTAGGTATATTTAATGTATTGTAAATAAATATTACAAACATTTGATTCTTACTTATGAAAGATGATAATTGTAATTTTATATTTAGTTGTTGCCTTCAAAACATTTGTGTAATTTTTTAATTAACATATTTGCCACCCATTCTGAAGTTTACTGTGGACATTTACCTATCATCCTTTGCAATCATTTTTGACAATAAGACCTTCTGTCTCACAGCATGTTGTATTTTCTGTAACATTTAGTTATATTAAAAGGAAAAAAAAAAAAAAAAAAAAGGCACGCAATGAACTGGAAGTTGATCTGCAGCACTATCCTTATCTTCAGGGCAGATGTTTTTATTTTATTCGGCTTTTAATTCCTTACTAAATGTAGTATTTCATCTCGATGTACTCCGTCTTTGATATGATTTAAATCAAAATCCTCGTCATTATAAATATCACAAATACACATCAAATAGTTTTCTGGTTGCAATTTTCTAATTTCGTCTATGCATAATGTATGCTTTACGCTTGCGCGCATTGAAAGAAATGTTTAATAAAGTAAACAAATAAATATTAAGCTTTTTTTTTTTTTTTTTTTTTTTTTTTTTTTTTTTTTTTTTTGTAAATTTTGATACCTTTTAGATCATAATTGCTCTTTATTTCATAAATTACGGTTTCATATTTTTAATTTTATAATTTCTGCATGCCATCTTACCAGATTTAAACTGATGATCTATAATCCGGAAAAACCGATAATCTGGAACATATAAAGGCCCTGAGTTATTGTAATACCTCATGCATTTAATGGTTTAAAATTGCAAGTGATAAAGAGCAGATCGGATATTGGTTACTATTTATAAATTTCTTATTTCTATAAAGCCAATACTCCAGCTGCAATTTGTCATTTATAAGTTTGTCATTCATAGATTCTGAAGAGAATAATTTACTGGGATGTAACCAAATGATAAATGCAGATCTATTGCCATATTTGGACAAACTGAGAGTAGATCTAAAGACAATTTATCTTTCATGATGATGATGATATCATCACTAAAGCTCTTGCAGTATGATCATTTAGCAAAAATTACTGCTGTTCGGTTCAGAAGCACCAGTTCACTTTGCACCTATAGACTACCATTTCATTTGATCAATGCGAAACAACTCTGTCGCCAAATCATTCATGATATGGGGATATGAAAAGAGTGTGATGAAGGAAAGACTTTTTTTACTCTAAAATAGAGGAGTTTTATCAATGTGATATAAACTACTGCAAGATAGATGGTAAGAGGTAATACATAATGTGGGCAGCTATATGAAATTGTAGCTACTTTACTTTTTGTATTCTTTGCGTGCCTTTTTCATTAAAAAAATCAAAATTTTTGTACACTCATAACATAAGTCTAAATTAAGCAAAAGTAAAAATGTATAATTGCTTTATAAATGTGCATTTAATTTTCAGAATGATTCAGAACTTTTTGGAAGAACAATAAGAGTAAATTTGGCAAAACCAATGAAAATAAAAGAAGGCTCAACTAGAGCAGGTATAGTTCATACTAGTCTGAAAATACTATATAAACGCTTGAAAGCAAACACTGTTATTTATTTCTGTAGTTGCACATTTTATTCAATATTGTGCATAAATTTAAATTTTAATATGCTAATTTTTGTAATATTTTCCAGTATGAAGTTGTATTCATATATCATAAGTTATGTTATTCTATAATTAATATTATATGAATGATTGAAATATTGATCAGATTTTATGTATGACAAACATTTGTATTACATAATTAAGAGCATAATTTAAGTTCAATAAATGTAACTATTCTTAAGTTTAAAGGCATTCATCTAAATCCACTATACAGTCAAAAGTCGTTAATTCGGACACCCATAATCCGGGACCTCAAAGCTAAAAACTTTCTGCGCACGCGCCGGGTTGACACATGCGCTTAGGCATTTGTTGGAAAATATGACCTATTGTAACTCTTTTGCTGCATCATCTCTCTTCCTTGAAATGATTCTAACTTTTACATAAGTTATATATAGAACATCTAGTTTAGTTCATATTTTAAAGGGATATAGTAGTTACTTCTACTTTGTTTTTCACTGCCATTGTTTTTATTAAGAACAACTGTTTCAGCCTAATTAAGATGCAAAAACAAAACTTGATGTTATGTCATCTGGAAAGCCGAGTTGTACCGATAGCTGATTGGTTGCCGTGAGATGACGTCACGTCTACTTTTGGTATAAGTATCTCGTGTCGCTCTGGCTCATTCCTGCTAGTTCCTGTTTTCTTGGCTCCTTGGTGTGCAGTTTCCAGCCCCTATTGGAAGACGTCTTGCGATGCATGCAGTCCGGTGAAAAGTGCCGTGGTTCCAGTCTACAAGATGACTTTTCCTGGATAAGTTCTGTGGTTCCAGTCTACAAGATGACTTTTCCGGTGATAAGTTCCGTGGTTCCAGTCTACAAGATGACTTTTTCTGGATTCTCAAAAGAGGCTACGATGTGAGTGACTGCCGTGGGCGGCATCCATGTTCTTCATGAAGGCGGCATTTAAGAGAAGTTAGCGGCAATGTTTTTCTAAGCTGTGATTCCTCGTGTTTAACTACAGTGAGCGGCGTTAGGCCGGTTTTAAATGCTCTCAAGGATTTAATTAAATTTTCAGGTGCCTTCTTGACCATTAAGCATTGACTTATGGTAGTGTAGCTAATTTCATTAAAACCGCATAATTTCTGTTTAGGATATGTTTTTCGTGTATTGAATGCCAGCATTTTGGAGATCAGGTAATATTATTTAATATATGAAATTTTTGATAATGGTTATATTATAATTTTTAAGTTTCTGATATTGATTAAATTTATTCATTGTGTTTTTATTTTTTTATATATTGTAAGTAAATTGGTTAAGTTTAAAACCTTTTATTGTCTTCAATGTCTGCACAGCACATAACCTTAGGGAGCTTCTATTGCTACTCTTGTTAAAAGTTTATTTTTACAATTTTAAACTTTGCTTTTGCATCAGCGTTTACGCGTGCGCGTAAGACCTTTACGACTGCGCATATGCGTGTGCGCAAGCGCAGAATACGTTTTCGCATGCACGTTTTATGTATAACGGACGGTATTAGCTAAAATTATCTAATTATCTATTTCAGTTAATGTTGATGATTGCGTTGTTCCTTAATCTTCGAATTGGATCCGACTTATTATTTTTTGCAGACTTTAACAGCAATTTTATAAAAATAAACTTGAACTTTCGATTATGTCAAATAGAATTTCCGATGCTGGAGCTCTCAAAGAATCTACAAAACGAAAGTATGTTTCGATGTCCATCAAACAAAAAGTGGAATTGCTGCAAAAAAAAGATAAAGACATGAAGAAGGTGACAGAGAGGTTAGTGAAAACGAAAAAATTTCGATTGACAAGTTAGTCGTTATTCTCGGCACAGCAATTACGGGACTTGAACAGCGGAACTTTGTAACTGAACAAGAAATTATGTCTGTTTATAGAATTAAAGAGAAAGTATTATCACATAAAACAAAGGAACTTAAACAACTTACATTGAAAGAAATGTTTAATAAAGTAAACAAATAAATATTAAGTTTTTTTTTTTTTTTGTGTAAATTTTGATACCCTTTAGATCATAATTGTTCTTTATTTCATAAATTACGGTTTCATATTTTTAATTTTAGAATTTCTGCATGCTATCTTACGAGATTGAAACTGATGATCTATAATCCGGAAAAATCGATAATCCGGAATCGCCGAAGTCCCGACGAGTCCGGATTAACGACTTTGACTGTATATACATATTTAATAATTAATCCAATTTGAAGGAAATGATTAGAAGGATATTTTTTTAAGGTGAAAAACTAATGAAATGAGATATTTAAAAGTGTAAAACTTATGAAAGGTAGTACGCGTTTTGGAAATCAAAAGGTGTAATATGTATATAATTTAATGAAAAATTTTAGATATAATAATAATAATATTTTATGAGAAAAAACATTGCCAAGTCCATTGAAAGATGCTGACTTTTCAAGGGAATTAGTCTCTTTCCATAAAATCACCAACAATTCAATGCAATTGCATTTCATCTCTTGCATTTTTTAACAAAACTCCTGTGCCAAAATGTAAAAATGTAAAATAGCAATATAATTTTTGAATGTAAATCTTTGATTTACAATAAAGGAAAAAGAAATTTCCTGACAGGATGTAAGACAATAAATGATAATAATACTACGGAACAAAAGTTAAAATAAGAATCAATAGTTACAAAACTAAGTAAAAATTTCTGAGTAGAAACAGATTTAATACAACTAAAATACATTTTAAAAAAGTTTAATAAATATTTTTTATTTTTTTTACATATATAATTGCTATGATGTTTAAATGCTTTGTTAAATAAGTTGACACTGTGTACTAAAAACTATAAAAACTTCAGTGGAAACTAAAGTTTTTATGATATGGGCTAGTTTTTATGCTAGGTTTAAACATACTTAAATAATCCCCTTTTTTATATATATTGTTGTATGATTTTTAGCATTTTTAAAAATATGTAATTACTTAAAATGAAATAACATGCCAAACAAGTATTAATTTAGAAGTCAAACAATAAAACTCAGCATTATATTTGTAAATTTTAACAGGACTAGTTTCGATGGTTTTACCAAACCATCATCCTCAGCTGAAAAAGCACAAATGAACAAGATGCAATATAGTTGATTAGATAAGATAAGAATTTCTGGACAACCGTTAAGCTGTTTGTACCATTAGGGATGAAATGAGAACTAGGACATAATTTCCTAATGGCTGAAGGCAAAGATGGATTGGAATTAGGGTCATTAACTAGAACAAAAAGATTTTTTTTTAATGTGAAACGCCTCTAGAAAATCTAATTAACCAATAGAATATGTTTTTTGAATAATTTTGGCTGCAGAAAAATTGAAAGTGTGATTTTGGGACCAAATGCTGGGCAACAGAGGACTTCTGTGTTTCCTTTTTTATAATATATGCCCCATGTTACTTAATGCGAAATTTTAAGGCTCTGTTAGTTTGTTTGACCAATGTAAATTAAACCATACTGGCAAGGAATCCTGTAAATACCCCAGGAATTCATATCTGGAATGGGGTCCTTGAGTATGGAATAAAACCTTTTTATCTCCAGCGTGCAGAACTGTGTATCAGAAATTCTAAAGATATGCCCAGTTAAAACTTATTTTGCGACATTGCTATTGAACTGAATTTTATGATTTAAGTGCAAAGAACATGATATTTAATAAATAAATAAAGGTAACACACAAAACAAAAAAATGCCCCTTTAGACTTAATTTAAAATCTGAAACCTTTCAGATTTTTTTTTTTTTTAAAATTATTTTAGATTTTAATGGTTAGCTGTTAGAGGTGTTAGATTATAAGCTGAAAGTTTTAGATTAACAGATTTTTGTATTTATCTTTAATTATTTGTTATTTTGTAAAATATATTTTTATTACAAACTGTGTATTATTACTATTTTTCTAATAGTTAATGATTGTACTATTAAATTGCTTTTGGTTGTATGAAGGATTTTTGTACTATTAATGTACCTTTGTCATGATTCCCTCACTTTTTTCTTTAATTAATAGTTTGGTCTGATGATAGTTGGCTAAAAGAACATGCTGGTGAAACGCTTCAGCAAGATGATGCTGAAGGTAATACTAAAAGAAAACATGATGAAAATGAGGTAATTATTTGTTAAACCATCTGCTAAAAGCTTATTATATGTGCACAAACACTGCCATTTATGTAAATTCTCAAAATTAAAAATATTGCAATTTGAGGAGAGTGGAGAAACTGCATATATTAAATATAACTCCCTATAGTAATTTTCATGTCATGCTTAATCACATAAAAATTGAATTCAGTTGTAATGAAAATTTTTAAACTAGAATTTATAATGACATTGTCCTCTGTTTCTCGTTAACCATCTTAATCAGTTTCTGCAAGACCTTAATTGTGGAACAAACAATCTGTTTTGCACATCTTGCACTGCTTCCTAGAATATTGGTAATCTTACAATCATACAGGTATTCATTAACTTGCGTGTTACTGTTTAGTATCACACATATTGAAAGCACTACAACATCATTTAATTAAATTAGTGATTAGCTATTAATGAATCCATAATCCAGTATGATTACATGAAGAATGATTTTCTTAGTCATAATGCATGCATGCTGACTCCAGCTATGAATTTATGCAAAATCTCAGTGTTGACTGTAGTTGTAGTGATGATAAAAACATGGCATTAAGTAATGAGATATAGCAGAATTCTGTTACACTCTCATAGTTGAAGCTGTCTTGATTTTATACCATGTCTGTTGCCAACTCTCTCCCGATTTTCAACCATTCTCCCTCCAACCCAATTTACTACACATTTCTCCTGACCTTCTCTTATTCTTAAAATTTCTAATGACTTTTATGTAGATTAGTTTAATGCTTCATTATTTGCTCTCCCAAAAAAGTGATTTTTGGTATCTGAAAGCACCTGGTTTTTCTCTAGACTGCATAAAAAAACCAAAGTAGTTTCATCAGTGAGTGAGCACAAAGCAATATTGAGGTTGTTATTTTGTTCATCTTGTCCCTAAGCTGTGTCAGTGCACCTGCTTTCGAGAAATAGTTTAAGAAACTACAATATTTTGTTCTAGTTATTGTTGTGTAAAAGGTAAAATACTGTTGCGTGCGTATGGATTCGTTATGAAGTGAATGCACAAGTCCGATGAAAAATGAACAAAACTTTTTATTATCACAACAAAAATGCTTAAATTTTCTCAAATTATCATGCAGTATTACAATATCTCACAGTAGTTATCTTTTAACTACTCAAATGTACAATAGAACGTAATTCAAAACAGCTAAAGAACGCTAATCCGTGAATTCGCTATAATCAACAACAGCAGTTTTCTAAACAACAACAAACTAAGCAACTACTACAAACTGAGATGTTTTCCTCCTTTTATAAGATTTTAAAATCACACGCTAGAATTTTCCAGTACTTTCTCGAAATCAAAAAGAGATATTTATTTATTTAATGCATGCGCTCTTGTATTTTCAATTTTCCGGCTTAGCTTTCTTTTGATATTCGTCACGCGCTGCACTGCGCGAGAAATAAAACCATTTAATTTATAATTGAACTAACATTAGCTTTTTAAATAGCAAATTCGTAACACTGCCCCCTTCCCAAGGACTGCACGTCCCGGGCAGTACAATCCCTGGACAGGAGCTAAACTTACAACTGTGGCATAAATGCATTAATGAGCATTACATTACAATATTAAACAACATGAACAAAAATGCAATAAATAAAACTCAAAACAAATACAAATCAAACACTAAAATCAATACTAAATACAAATCAAATCAATACACATTTAAAAACAAATGGACCATGGTCTTATACTATTTACAATTTTACATTATGTACTATGGCCATAGTAACGAGCTAACCTTGTAAGGATCTTAAGTTTTACTAACGTTTATTTTAAATCTTTACTATCACTTCTTATTTTCTACTTCCGGCCAGAATTATAAGCGTGAAGGAGTTTATGCAAAGTTGTCTGGCGAACGCCAAGTATTTAAGTGTGGCCTTTTTGCCAAGCGAAAGAGAGGAAGCCGTGAGTTCGAAGCAGGCCGCTTACCTTAGAAGTTACGCAGTTGCTACTTTGCCTTCCAGGCCAGAGGTTTTAATCCTCTTGATAAATTAAACGTATTGTAGTGTTCACAGTCTCTGTGCTACATACGCTTCCTGTTATTATAAGGCCAATCTTATTCTAAAGTTAAATTAGAGTTTAGTTTTATTTTTTATATCTTTTACGTTAGACCCCGAGTGGAGGGTCATTGTATTCCGAAGTACGGAAGTCATTGTATATAAAGAAAAAAATAAAGGGTTTTGTATACCCTTCGTCTGTATCCTGTCTACTTACTACAATTAGTGAACATAGCTTTAGTAAGCTCTCTGTTCTAGTCAGGTCATTGTATGTTTCCGAAGAAGGTTAGAAGAAACATTGAACCTGATAGTGGCGCCCGACGAAGAATAACCATGGCCGAGTTTCAAGAAGAACCTGTGCTGCCTGCAGAAACAGCTCAGAATCCAGAAATGCCAGCTGCCGCCCTGGAAGGATTTGGGTTATCGTCCAGACCATGCGCGCTTCGATGAAACCAGAAGCAACGTTTAATGGAAACTCACAGGTAACCAGTTTTTTGGAAAAATTGGATGACCACTTCATGCTCTACCCCGTGCACGAGTTTCAAAAAGTTACCTTAGCTACCAGCGCTTTGAGGGGCCAAGCGCTTAACTGGTTCAAATGTATAGGCAGAAGTCTCTTGGGTCAAGCAGGAAGTCCCACCTATACTTACGAGAATTTCAAGACTGCCCTACTAAAAGCCTTCCCTGTTGTAAGGGATCGTGCGAAATTAGAAACAGAACTTTTCAGTATATATCAACAAAGAATGGAAAACCTCTCGAGTTTTATTTTAAGAAAAATTCACGTTTTCAAGCTCTTGTATGGAAACCGTCCGGATCCTGAAATAATTCAAGTGATTTTGCCGAGGTTACTACCCCAAGTGCAAGACTTTATTGAATTGAGAAATCCGACTACACTGGAAAAATTATTTGAGCTAGCAATCCAGTTTGAAAGTAGAAGAACGGCGGACGTCGAAAGAAGACGCCAATATCAACAGCGAAACCAATTTGGTACGCCAAGACTACAGCAAACTCAAGCACATGGCTACGGAGAAAAAGCGAATCAGTGGGCAAGGAAACCCGAGCATTCAAAAACACAGTGGCGAACGTCGACAGTTCAATAGCAACCCAGGAAAAAGTCTCAAGGCCAGTGGAGAAAGAAGGAAAGCACCGAAGAAAAATAATTTAAACTAAAAACGGATTTCTGCTGACGAGAGGGTGCGGAAATCCGAAGGCCACAAAAACCCCTCTTCCTACAAGTTAAATACAGTAATGGTGAAAAATTTAACTCTTCCGAAGATTGAAGTCTTGGTAAATAATATCCCGGCCACCGCACTCCTGGATACCGGTAGGATTTAAGACAGGTGTTTTCTTTATTAAATGAGGCCGGTCTAAAAGTTAATGTCGAAAAATGCAAATTTGCAGCCCCTGAATTAAAATATTTAGGTTACAAAATATCGCAAAAAGGGATCGAGACAGATGAATCAAAAATAATCGCTGTACAAAAGTATCCGACTCCAAACACGGCAAAGAAGCTCTCTTCTTTTCTAGGACTTTGTTCATATTATAGGTCCTTTATAAAAGATTTTGCGGCTATCGCTGAGCCATTGTTAAAATTAAAAAGGAAAAAGGCAAGATTCTCGTGGACGGCCGAAGCCAATAGTGCTTTCGAAAAATTAAAACAAGCATTAACGCAAGCCCCTGTGTTGAAATTTCCTGAAAAGGATGAAAATTTAGAAATTTCAGCGGATGCTTCGGATTATGCGGTAGGAGCGGTACTTTCGCAAAATCAGCAGCCCGTGGCATTTTTTAGCCGAACTTTAAATCAAACACAAAGAAACTATTCCGCGACCGAGAGAGAGGCACTTGCAGTTCTGTTAGCAGTGCAAAAGTTCCGAGTCTATTTTGGAAAGGCGCCGATAACAGTATATATTCTGATCATGCGGCGGTAACTAGATTGTACTCAGGGAAAAATTATATCCCCAAGGTTAATAAGATGGGCACTCAAGCTGCAAGAATATAATCTGGTAATCAAGCATACCCCCGGAAAGGAAAATATCGTAGCAGATGCCCTATCACGAATTAAATTAGACGAACAGGGTAATACCGTAAAAGTTGCAATGCTGACAGCGTGTACAATAAATTCCCGAGAAACTGTAATAACCGAACTGGGTAAGGATCCTGAGTTTGGAAGTATTTATGAGTATTTGAAGGATCCTGAAAATTTTAGCCACCAAGATATTGTGGCGATAAGAAATAGGGCGGCCCATTACGAACTAATAGATGGTCTATTATTTTATACAAAAACTACGAATTCCAACAACGAATTTCGACCTGTTATCCCAGCTAGTCTTAGATTAAATATCCTGCAAGAGCTCCATGACAGCCCTTTAGCTTCTCATGCTGGTATTCGAAAAACTACTCAACGCGTACGCGAGGCAGTCTACTTTCCTGAACTGCAAAAGTTAACAAGGGCGTATGTCCAGTCCTGCCCAACATGTCAAGCCGTTAATTATATTAATTTCCGCCCGGCCGGGTTTCTAAATAGTATTAAATCCGAATTTCCAAATGAAATAATTCGGCATCGATTTATTGGGCCCTTTCCCAAAAAGTCAGTTAAAAAAAGTCGCTATCTCCTTGTTATGGTTGATCATTTTAGTAAATGGACCGAAATTGTTCCCTTAAAACGAGCCTCCGCGAAATTAGTTACCGATTCTATTTTAAATAAATATATTTTAAAATACGGGGCGCCCCTAAAAGTTATATCGGATAATGGTCCTCAATTTGTAAGTAATATATTTGAAGACATGTGCCAAAAACTGGGCATACGTCATTTAAAAATGGTCCCGTATCGGCCGCCGCAATCAAATATAGCGGAACGGGTCAACAGAAATATAGTGAAAATTATCCGTAGTTATGTTAAAAATTTTCATAAAAGCTGGGATAACTATGTCAATGAATTTGCTTTCGCCCTTAGGACCGCAAAACATGATACAACGGGC